GATATGCTACGCACATTCAAGTTCTGAAGATCCCGCAGACAAAGTAGGAAAGTTGAGTCCGTCATAGTCTGAATAGAGTGCCTTGCTAACGCCGACAGGAATAAATGACGTATTAGGTGGGAATTTCGTTTTTCTTAGAAGTAGGACAACGAGAGAGACCATTCTTCTTCAGTAACATTGAGGGCAATGACTGCGTATCAAGGAAGACCGTAGAGCACTAATTCTGTCCAAACAGTTACATCTTCAGTCACGGTGGCAACTTAAATGCCAGATATATCATATCATTGGGGAATCAAGGCTTATACTACTGACTACTAGCACTGACTAGTACTGACTTGAACGCATTCTTTATTGATTCTTGGATCAATATTTTGATTTTACAAAAATTCTACGAATTTCTCTTATATACCCTTTGCTATGATAGCAAGTACAACGTGCTACTCATACCGTGACTCGGATATTCTGTTGAATTTCCAGTTCTTTCTCCCGCATATTTTTATGCCTCGCTCGTTTCGCAATTTATGTACTTGTCCCATTAATGGAATCAAAATGAGCAATAATTTTACTTAGCTTTGACTTTCTCACTGTACGTTCAAGTGGCTCTGCACAAAATTGAAATGAACTTTCAAATACAAGGTTTATCTAGAAGCATACAACATTATATACTTATATATATACTGATATTTTTGGGACACAACTATCAATACACAATCCGAACCATGAAGCCTATCAGTCAAAAGTATCCCCGAGATTCCCTGAATATATTCAATTCCAAGAGCGGTTGGCCGTGTGGAGGTTGCAATAGAAGAAGCCACAACAATGTGACCTGTATGCAACCCAGCTAAGCTGATGAGTCGTCGGGGGCCTCCACTCAACTTCAAACTTAGAGGGTAACGGGCGCACAGCCGACGGAGATGAGTCCACCTGTGAAACTTCAGTCAGTAATAAACATAGGATGACGGATATTCTTGATATTACCAACGGCGTTGTCTGTGCAGCAGACAGCTTGAGCAGCACTACGAAGGCGATGATATGAGTATTAAGCCTTGAGTAGAATATGACTGGGAAAGTGCTTACCAGGTCCCTCCCCCAGCGATGTTAATGCCAGAGCAGGTGAGACCGATGAGGCCAGTCACGTCCCCGAGAACGACGCCGATAAGTCCAAGGAGAGCAAGGACGCCGGGGTTAGAGGCTGCTTGGGTGGTGGTTTGGACGCTTTGGCAACACTGGACGGGGCCGGTGGAGCAGCTGCTGGCGGGCTCATTACGAGCAGTGGGTGAGGCAAGCGCAAGAGTAGCGAGAGCGGCGGAGACGAAAGCGAGTTTGAACTGCATGATGAGTATGGAAGATTACTTGAATGACAACGGTTAATTGTTCGAGTAAGGAACTTCTTCATACTTTCAGCTAGCTTTTATACCTTTGCTTTGCCACAAAGGCCGAAGTGTCCCAGGCGTACATAGCCTACCCCTCTTCCCTAGTGGATTTCTTCCTCGTCATTACTTACTTACTCAGTGCAAAGCTGTCGGAGTGGAGCAACGAACATGGAAGTTCAACGTTAACTTGTTCCATTGTACCTGAATTATGGAGCATGAGTCTTGTTTTAAGTTGGAAGAAGGTCGGCTCAAATTCAGGACGATAGCCCATTGTACTCTATGCAGTGTAAGTACATAGGCAGCGTAAATTTTGACATGTGGTATGGCCCGTGATATGCTACGCACGTTCTGAAGATCCCGCAGACGAAGTAGGATTGAGTCCGTCATAGTCTGAATAGAGATTTGCCAGAGTGCCTTGCTAACGCCGACAGGAATAAATGACGTATGAAGTGGGCATTCGTTGTTCTTGGACGAAACGGACCATTGATGTTCAGTGACCCCAGTGACGTTGAGTGCAACGACTGCGTATCAAGGCCGCAAAGCCTATCCAAAGAGTTACATCTTCAGCCACAGTAGCAGATATATCATATCATTGGGGAATCAAGCCTCAAAGTTTGTGCTGACTAGTACTGACTTGAACACATTCCCTATCGATTCTTGGCTCAATATTTCTATGCTACAAAATTCCTTTTGTTATGATAGTAATAAACATGCTACTCGTACCGTGATACTCCGTCAATTTTCCCATAAGTTCTTTCTCTTGGATATTCTACATGCCTCTCTCGTTTCGCCTCTTGTGTTGTCCGAGCCAACCAATCAAGTTGTGTACTTGTCCCATCAACGGAATCAAAATATGAGAGTCGCCTTATATGGCTCAATAATTTCAGCTTTGACTTTCTCACAGTACGTTCAAGTGGCTCTGGAGTCTGCACGGAATTGAAATGAACTTTCAAATACAAGGTTTATCTAGAAGCATACAACATTATATACTTATATATATACTGATATTTTTGGAACACAATTATCAATACACAATCCGAACCATGAAGCCTATCAGTCAAAAGTAAGTACCCCACGATTCCCAGAATATATTCAAGAGCAATTGGCCGTGTGGAAGCTGCAATAAGAAAAGTCACAAGAATGTGACCTGAATGCAGCCCAGCTAAACCGATGAGTCGTTGGGGGCCTCTTTTCAGCTTCAAGCTTAGAGGGTAACGGGAACACAGCCGACGGAGATGAGTCCACCTGTGAAACTTCAGTCAGTAATAGAGCAATAAGACCACATATATTCTTTATATTACCATCGGCGTTGTCTGTGCAGCAGACAGCTTGAGCAGAGCTACGAAGGTGATGATAAGTATCGACGCTTGAGCAGAATATGACTGGGAAAGTGCTTACCAGGTCCCTCCACCGGCGATGTTAATGCCAGAGCAGGTGAGACCGATGACGCCAGTCACGTCCCCGAGAGCAACACCGATAACTGCAAGGAGAGCAAGGACGCCGGCGTTATTCGCTGCCTGGGTGGTGGTTTGGACGCTTTGGCAACACTGGACGGGGCCAGTGGAGCAGCTGCTGGCGGGCTCGTTACGAGCAGTGGGTGAGGCGAGGGCAAGAGTAGCGAGAGCGGCAGAGACGAAAGCGAGTTTGAATTGCATGATGAGTAGTGAAGATTACTTGAACAACGAGGGTTAATTGTTTGAGTAAGGAAATTCTTCTTACTTTGAGCTGGCTTTTATACATTTTGCTTCGTCACAAAGCCCGCTTAGAGATATCTACCTTTCCAAAGTGTCCCAGGCATACATAACCTGCCCTTGTTCTCCAACGGATTTCTCCCTCGTCATCACTTACTTACTCAGTGCAAAGCTGTCGGAGTGGAGCAACAAAAATGAGAATTCAATGTTTTAGTTCCTGGAAGGTCACCCAAACAACGGCTCGATGGTCTAGGCTCTTGACCGACCAAAAGCGATATTATTCGAGCTGGAAAATAACTGACAGGTCTGAGGTCATTTACTTACCTTGTTCCATTGTACATGAACTCCGGAACATATGCGTTGTTTTAAGTTGGAAGAAGGTAGAAGATCTTACGAACTTAAATTCAGGACGGTAGTCCATACATAGGCAGCGTAAATTTCGACATGTGGTATGACCAGTGATATATATAGTCGACACGTTTTCTGAAGATCTTACAGACAAAGCACAATTGGGTCCATTATATGTAGCCTGCGGCCTGGATAGAGCTGGATAGAGATATCGATCTTCAAAGCGCCTTGCTCTCACCGACAGAAAAAAAAAATGACGTATGAAAATAGGATTTTGATTGTATTCATTGTTCCTGGGAGTGGGATAACGGGAGGGACACTCCAAGCCAACCGATTTTACTTGTCCCATCAACGGAATCAAAATAAGGAGTCGCCTTATAAGGCTTGATAATTTTAGCTTTGACTTTCTCTCAACTTTCTCTTTGGTTCAAATGGTTCTGCACGAAATTGAAATAAACTTTCAAATACTACAATATTTATTTAGAAGCATACAACATTATATATGTATACTGAAAGAATACTGATGTTTTTCGAATACAATTTTCAATACACGATCCAAATTACTCTATTGTTCAAACTCAGAGAGTAACGGGAACGCAGCCAACGGAGATCAGTCCGCCTGTGAAACTTCAGTCAGTAATAAACATAGGATGACAAATATTCTTGATATTACCAGTAGCGTTGTCTGTGCAGCAGACAGCTTGAGCAGAGCTATGAAGGTGATAGTAAGTATCGACGCTTGAGCAGAATATGGCTGGGAAAGTGCTTACCAGGTCCCTCCACCGGCGATGTTAATGCCAGAGCATGTGAGACCGATGACGCCAGTCACGTCCGCGAGAGCAACACCGATAACTCCAAGGAGAGCAAGGACACCGGGGTTAGAGGCTGCTTGGGTGGTGGTTTGGACGCTTTGGCAACACTGGACGGGGCCAGTGGAGCAGCTGCTGGCAGGCTCGTTACGAGCAGTGGGTGAGGCGAGGGCAAGAGTAGCGAGAGCGGCGGAGACGAAAGCGAGTTTGAACTGCATGATGAGTAGTGAAGATTACTTGAACAACGAGGGTTAATTGTTTGAGTAAGGAACTTTTTCATACTTTTAGCTCGCTTTTATACATTTTGCTTCGTCACAAAGCCCACCTAGAGATACCTACCTTTCCAAAGTGTCCCAGGCGTACATAGCCTACCCTTCTTCCCCAATGGATTTTTTCCTCGTCATTACTTACTTGCTGAGTGCAAAGCTGTCGGAGTGGAGCAACGAACATGAGAGTTCAACATTAACTTGTTCCGTTGTACCTGAATTATGGAGCATGAATATTGTTTTAAGTTGGAAGAAGGTCGAAGATCTTACGAGCTCAAATTCAGGACGAAACCAGTGTAAGGACATAGGCAGCGTAAACTTCGGCATGTGGTATGACTCGTGATATGCTATGCACGTTCTGAATAAAAGTAGCGAGTCCGTCATAGTCTGAATAGACGTTTAAAGAGAGCCTTGCTAACGCTGACAGGAATAAATGACATATGAAGTGGGAATTTCGTTGTTGTGGAGTAAATGGCACAGGAAACAAAAAGTTCTATAGCTTCGCAGCGCGCACTCCCTGGCTGGGAGTCGAACCCAGCTTTCGCGCGAATGCATGGCTGAAAATCCTTCATGACAGGCGCGTGTACTAACCGATATACTACCAGGGAATCGTAAAGAGCGGATGTACTGGGTATATATCTTCATGGATCCCGCGAGCCAAATCCACTACGAAAGATTTTGAAACCGTCGTTCTCTATGATCCACAGATCTCGCAAGAATGTGGGAGGACATGCGGGGACAAGTTCGAACAAGCTCGAAAGTCAATCGAAAGTAGTATGGATCAATTCGTCTGCCAGCGATAACTCCAGATCTGATCGGTGCGTGAAATAAGAAGGGCGGGTGTACGCATAAACATTATGTTCAGAGATGAATGGGCTGGGGCCACCATCGAGAGATTACCCTACGAGAAGAACGAGTACGAAGTTATACTCGGAGATTGTAAAGCGGCCAATCCCACTGTACTTTCACAAGAAAAGACGAGAAAGTTTTTGGACAGAGACGCAAATGCTGCAGAAACTCTAGTCTTAACACGATGTTTCTGCATAAGTACTTGGAATTTCGAGGAATGAGCAAAACTATATTCCTCACCGACGGAGAGATATATGGAGGTCAAAAGGGTAAGTAGAGCGAGTTTGACCCATCAATTCACGCCAGCAATGCACCAAGAAGCCAAGCTCAAGGGAAAATAGATCTGCCAAGAGCTCTACATTGCCGCCAACGACGGTAACGCCTCTGTTGCCGATATAGGATGGTGACAACCAGATGAGCTTGTTTCAAGTCGCGAACGAGATAGGGATGTGTGTCTGATGGTAAGGATTGTGTGAGACTCCGAAGGAAGCCCACTTCGATGAAAGAGTGAACTGACTGGTCTCCGGTTGCGGGTATTCGCGTTGATGTTGCCGTTCAACGTTTCAACGTTCAACGTGTAGATCTTCTAGCTCGTCGAGTTCTGTCCATGAGGGGACACCATTTATAGACACGAGGGAGAGCGAGGGAGTTAGAAGCAAAGGGAAGAAGGATATACCGGCCCTTGCGGCGCTGTCCCGCTCGGCACGGCTACTTGCCTAAAGCGGCAGATTACTCTCTTAGTCTATTGCTCTCTACTTACTTCTCTCAATCATGTCGTCGCCTTCGAGGCCGTTGAGCATACCCAGGCGAGGCTCTCACTCTCAGGCCGCTACTCCTATTGGGACACCCGACCTTCGGGCACTGCGTGCCCAAGTATTCTCTGGAACGCCACCGGTTGGGCTCTCAATACCCCTGCCAAATATTCCGCTACGGACTTCATCTCCTGCGCCATTTGAAGGTGCACCAGAATCATTATCATCCGCAAGAACTCCGCTTTCGGGGCCGCTTGCGGGACCAAGTAGTAGAACGGACAGTCCGGCGAATTTGCCTGTGGATTTGGACGACTTGCCAGACGAGGAAAAGGCGAGGATTTTAAGGAGGCATTTGGTTTCGAAAGAGGAAAGAGAACGGGGAGAGCAGCAGGATGACGATGCCAACTCGTCTGTCGCTGAGCCGGGCCCTATGACAAGACGATCTTCTGGAAGCGTCGGGGTAACCAGAGAAGATACCGAACCATTTCCGGTTCCTTATAATGCTCCCGGTGCAGATGTGACGTGAGTTTTTTCTCTTTCTACGTGCTGCTCTCGCTCTATCTATGTACTGATAATCTTCTAGAGCGGATATATACAAATGGAATTTGAATGCACAGCGACAGGCACGCCGTGTTCGCTCAGTATCCTTCTCTGCCATAACTCGTCCTGCTGTGGATCCCGCATTCGAGCACATTCACGAACCCGGAGGTTTCAGGCGTAACTACGTTCTGCTGCGTGCTGGAAACGAGGAAGGAAACGAGGAACAGCCAAGAGTATTCGTGAACAACTTTATCGACTTTTTGTTTCTCTTTGGTCATTTTGTACGTCTTTTCTTTACGTTTAATGGCTTATATGTGTGCTTGGGCTTACGCTCACGATAGGCTGGAGAGGATTTGGAAGAGGACGAAGAGGAGAAGGACGAAGATCTGGAGGGCGCGCCTGGTGGACCATCTTCATCACGCCCACCTACCGCTGGGTTTGGCGACATTTCAGCTACGGAGTCGTCACCCTTGCTAGGTAACAAATCAGCCACATCCCGGCCTCGTTCTAGATCGAGAAAACGAGGAGCATCTGTTTCTTCTACCGGAGGTGCCACCGTTGGACAAGCTATCCTGATGGTAAGGCGTCCACGATCTCCGTCATAGATAATACTTTGTAACCCTTTCCCTTTCTAGTTATTGAAGGGCTTCGTAGGAACAGGTGTTTTGTTCTTGGGAAAGGCGTACGTGTATCTCCACCTTATTATCAATACGCACTAAGTTAGTTGATAGGTTCATGAACGGAGGCTTACTTTTTTCGGCCATCCTATTCACCTTTATCGCTCTGATATCCTTACATTCATTCCTGCTTCTGGTCCGTGCTAAACTCGCTGTGCCCGGTAGTTTCGGAGGTATGAGTGGTGCTATGCTTATCGCGCGATCGATTTCTTACCCCGTTCATACAGATATTGGTGGTACCTTATACGGTCCTTGGATGCGGCAACTCATTCTTACGTCTATCGTGGTGTCTCAAATTGGCTTTTGTTGCGCTTATATGATCTTCGTATCGGAGAACCTTCAAGCGTTCGTGAGCAGCGTCAGTAACTGCGTACATTACGTGCCGGTAAAGTAAGTATTCCGTCTGTCGAAATTATTGTGCTCATTTCTTGTTTTCTTTGGTATTCAGGTACTTCATCATCATCCAAGCCATAATCTTCCTTCCTTTGTCTCTGATACGCGACATAGTCAAACTTAGTACGACCGCGCTCGTAGCAGATGCTTTCATCTTGGTGGGACTGGTGTATATCTTCGGCAGCGAAATTAGTTTGGTCAGCCACCAAGGTGTAAGCGACGTGAAAATGTTCAATCCAAAGGACTTTTCACTGTTCGTTGGGTATGTTGGTGTCTTCTTTCCATCCAATACATGATAATTGAAACACGTCTTTACAGAACAGCCGTCTTTTCCTTCGAGGGCATTGGTCTTATCGTACCCATCGTTGATGCCATGCGCGAGCCTCACAAGTTTCCCAAAGTCCTCACTGGCGTTATGGCTTTCTTGTTGGTCCTGTTCGGAGGCGCTGGTGCCCTGGCGTATATGACATTCGGCTCGGAAATCCAGACCGTCGTCTTGATTAATCTCAACCGATTGAATCCGGGAAGTCGGATGCTAGAAGTAGTGAGCCAGCTTCCTTCTCGCATCCGTGTTCTTTGTCACTCATAAGTTGGATTGGTATAGGTACAATTCTTCTACTCCCTTGCGATTCTGTTGTCTGTGCCTCTCCAGCTTTTCCCGGCTGTAAGGATCATGGAGAACGGACTCTTCACTCGCAGTGGAAAGCGCAACACGCGCGTCAAGTGGCTGAAGAACTGCTTCAGGTTCGCTACCGTTGCTGTGGCGGGTTGTATCTCCATTCTGGGAGCAAGCGACCTGGACAAGTTCGTCGCGTTTATTGGATGTTTTGCTTGGTAAGCTTCTGTGTTTTTTCTTCTTTTGTGCTTTCGCTAATGTTTTTGGTTTGCTTGTTTAGTGTCCCGCTGTGCTATGTATACCCCGCAATGCTCCACTATAAGGCTTGTGCGCGCACTCGCAGGGAGAAGTGGGGAGATATTGCAATGATCGTGTTTGGGTTCGTCGCGGCCGCTTTTACGACCGTTCAAACCGTCAAGGTACAATTTTGTAAACGATGATGTGAATATGCTATGGCTAACGCTATTTTTTCAGTTGATGATTGAACCTCAGACCGGAGGACCACCGCTTGGAGAGTGCCCACCCAAAGTTTGACTCGAGTTATAACGCAAAGGATTAGGACTATGATAATATATCTAGAGTTTTTTTAATTTGTGGATTTGTGGAGTCTTCATGAAGACCATCGGTCTGTATTGAGACTTCGTGCTTTCGTTTTTGCATATGGCTACCCACCCACACTTTTTATGTTATGCACCTGTATTCCAGTACAATAGAAGCTTTTTACATTTCACAGCAATTTGCAGGTCAACACCTCGTAAATTTTAATCTAGCCCATCTTATGCCCCTGAGCTAAATGCTGATTTCATGAGCGGATACTGAATCGTTCCAGGTTGAGGCTTTATTTACTGCAACTATTGACGCTCAAGCTTTAGTTTCTGGTTCAAGTAGGGAGGTCGGATTCCCAAATCTGATATGTCGCTGTACTTCCACCGTACTTCACCCATACTTAATTACTAGCCCAGGTACGTATATGAGGGCCGCAGAATTAAATTACTACTTCGCAAGCTGAGTTTGGACGGTGCAGACAAATAATCGTACGTATTACCCCTTCTTGGAGTGCAAGTAGGATTGGTTGGTCCCTTTGAATTTCCTGGCCCTGGTTCTTGGCACGCGTTACAAGTGTGTCAGTCATTGTCGTCAAAAATTCCCTGTCCTCGAACGCAGAGTAAGCGCTAGACTCCACTTGACGGCTGATCATCGAGGTTCATCGAGGTCAAAAAGTCGAGCGCTAAATTCTTCAACAGCTTTCACGATGAAAAGTTCTTCGCACGCCTGGGATACATCCGGCTCATCTTTTTCTTTCTGTTAGTTTTGGGAATTATTTGCTTCGAGAAGTGAGTGTCACCTTGACTCTTGCAAAGGCGTAGGCGCGTTTGTAATGACTTAAAACTTAAGATTCTGGACGGAAGTACAAAAAGCTGGCCACTGACATTATGTATACATACTGGAATTGACGATGATGACCCCGAGGGGTATCCCCGACTCTGACCGAAGGGAAGAGAGGGTCTTGTACCTGACGATCGAACCAAAAAACAGTCAAAATGTAACTAAAGGAAATAATTTCTCATCACGTTACCGGAAGCTCCACAGATGACGAGTGTCACAAAATATGTGCTTTTCTCACTCGACGACTCCAGAGCCTAGAAACCTTAATGAATAATTTTTTCACTTCATTGCAATCACTGCACTATTCCAATATGGGCGCAAGCTGGATCATCTAAGTTGCGACAGCAGCAGCGGAAGAAGTTTTAGCTACCCCAATTATTGGATATGCCGATTTT